TAATCTACGAACTGGTCTCTTTCTTCAGGTTGACTATCTTTGTGCACAAAGAGTTCCTCTCCTTTATTGTTTATGATGACCCTATTGTACTGAAATCAAATCACAGTAGATAGATAAACTGAAGTATTGGAGTACTCAATAACGACTCCTCACTCTCACTCATATCACACTTCGATTTCCATCATAGTCAGATATTTATTTCTCACAATCATCACCAACTTACAGTGTACATTCATTTTATAATAAACTTGTCACAAACACCAATCTCAACCAGTGGTTAATGTCTACTATACTAATCAGATGGATGATTCCCATAAGCATCACAATTCACTATCACATACACCTCACACATCCAACTCACTACGTTGTACGAAATCTGAAGAATGCATACGAGTAGTGGATCAATGCAATCCGTTCAGCAATCGTATCTGGAAACTATTCATAATCACTTGCAATATTCGACTGACACGCAGTGACAAATGAGGATGAATGAATGTGAAACATTCAACAGTTTGAAGAATAATACTGGTCATTGATGAGTAATTTATGGTTATCAGCCATCTCCAACATTGATTAAATGCAGACGAACGTTGAGATCTCTTCCATGTGTCAATAAGAACTGTGTCAGCCAAATTAATATATCATTTAAATTTATTTTATGCACATACACCACCACTCGTTGTGGCAGCGTTCAAATATTTACGATTTAGTGAGCGGTGTAGATAACGCGAAGTCACTAAACCCTGCATCAGTCCTATGTTAAATTCCGTTTACATTAAATCGAATCATCATTTTACAAATATCAAATAAAAGTAACAATTTCATATCAAATGATATCTATGTACATTTGCAGTATGAATCATCCATCTCTTTCACACACATTCTGTCTAATCATCAATCACCAAATCGTAATCCACTATACTCATTATACTACTTATTACGACTCAATCAGTAGAAATTATTCATTCATATTTCTATCGAATTTCATACAAATTTCAATCATCCACTCATCCACTCACACACACACACACACATACATGTGTACATATCTGCAAACACACCGAAACAAACAATCATGAAATTGTACTATTCACTTACATTCCTCTCCATTCAATGTGATGAAGGCGAATTCCTAATCAATAACTCACTCACCACTCCTCGTAAAATAATCACTTACCAATTCCACTTATTTTGTGATATTATTAAGTGTTTGACAAAGTGGTGTGGTGAATTACAAATATTTGTGTGTATTCCAATATTTAAAAAGATGTGGCTGCAATACATTTGGAGATGAATATCTACATAGGAATTCGATTTTCAATCGTCCATGGCAGGTGTGAAATAGAGGTATTGAGAAGGATGCTATAGTGACAAGCACAGAATTGTCTATAAGTTTGAACTACATGCTTAACCAATGACATCTACCTGGTTTCTTATAAAAGAAGGCGAAATGTTGAATAATGGTGTCAGTCCTGAAAGAAAATATGTTTTGCTTTCTGGGTTCAACTGTGGGAATGAAGATCAGAGGAACTCTATCAAACAGATCTTTTGGAGAATGAATGAACAGACTGAAATCACTAAAATGAACGTACTGATATTTGTACTCTATCTCATATCTAGTTGCACATACTAACATTTCCAATGAGTAATTAATATCATCATATTAACTGAAGCCGTTTCTATGCACTGTTAATCAATACTGAAGTGGATGTAGAACTGAGATTTCTGATTATATCTCCATTGTCGATGTGTTATTGTGAACTGTAACAGTGGAAATGAGGTTTACCTATTTTCCAAAGTTCATGAAACACAAAAATCAGAATATACATATCTAACCATGAATTCAACTGTTACATTACTACAATCTCCACAAACACCAATTCTGAAATCTCATTGATTCAATTTAGTGTCGAGTATACCACAATCCATCGACCACACCTCATACCTTGTTCGAAATAAACCAGTATGTGTACAATTCTATCAAGTGATATCGTGGATAATCCCAATTCATGAAGTCAAGTCATTGTAAGCACAATGAGGAAACATTTCGCGATACAGTGGACAAAGTCTGAGGAAGCATTTGAAACGAAGTTCACTCAGTCATCAGTTGGTGCTTATTTTCCAGATCACATTCGACTCAATTATCCAGTCACAATCTCATCTGATTTGTGATAATGAGGTAGGATTTATGCCGAATGTTCACTACAGGATAGAACTGGATAGGACAGGACAGGACAGAACAGGACAACACAGCACAGCACAGCACATGACAGGACAGCACAAGTGAATATTTATCAATAATATTATCATTTGAATTAGACAGTATTATAAGAGTTTATGCTCATGTTAGACAGTTTACAGACCGATGAATTTGTCGATTGAGCGTATTTCAACATGATGAAAATATATCCAGTTTTGTTATCGTTTTATGGACCGTCGTCAATTTTCAATGTTCACCGTAATTGTCTCAAGTTATTTGAGATTGTCTAATTATAGTTAGCTTACTGAATTTACAAAACTGAATCACTTTCGTGAATATTTCCAATTCGATTTACCAAGTGAATTCAAGTTTAGCTACTTTGATATCATCACAAGTGAAGTACACTGTCAACAGCTGATTGTGAAGTTGATACTTGTGAATGGTCACTGATGTCTCGAAATTCATGTTTAATTCTCCAACACAATTATCTACACGGATTACATTTCATGTATCACTGGCCACCAACAAGTATTCTCCAACCAACTCTGTTCTAATGTGACTTTCCTAGTTGTTTACAATTGTTATTCATTTGTCTCATTTCTGCCTTCACTTCTCGATACAACATGTTCTTGAGTGTTCTTCTATTCCTTTTTTCCTTCAGGATTCCATATTGGGTTTGTCTCGTGATGAAGTTTGATACTTTTTAACAATGTATGTCCTATCCACCTCCATTGTCTTTTCCTCCTTTTGTAAATGTTTATTTCATAGAAATTTAATCTCCTTATTCTATTTTCACATAATATGCTCACCATATTCCATTAGTTGAAATCATAAGTCAATTGAAGACAGACCATCATGGAAAACCTGGAAGCACTGGACAGTCGTTTCATCCTATTGGGAGACTCATAGGCCCTGGATTCGAATCCCGTGAGACAGGGTCTTGGATGTGTACTACTAAGGAGTCTCACAATCCAGCGCTTCCAGGTTTTTCATGGTAGTCTAGCTTCAATTGACTCTTGATCTCAACTAATGAAATGACTACAATCTCCTCAAAACCCCTTCTGATACTAAACAACATATTCATACAAATGTTAAATAAACAGAAGAGTGAAAGTGAAAAGGTATAGACATCATGAATAATAATAATAGTAATAACTGAATGTTTTCTTATAACAAGTCAAGAAGAATAAACCTGACGTTGATTGTAAATCTTCACAGGTGAACATCAATGAAATATATCTGTTAGATTTTTTTAAAAAATTTATGTTATTCATTAGATTGTTCTAATTGTCAACTTTTATTGAAATTACTGTCTTATCGTTTTATAATTATACCTATATCATTGTGAACTTGTTGCTATGTTTCCTAGTATATATGATTAAATCTTGCCTATATCATACTTTCTTATTTTTATAGTAAGTTATGGTTATGAAAATGATATTCAAGAACTTTTAAGTTTTTGAATGAGGATGATACAAGAAAAATGTAATACAGGACAATATTTTTATAGAGGAATGATGCCTTTTTAATTTCTGAACTGTAAAAAGTAAGATATCATAAGTATATTACCACAAATATATTGTATTTTGATAGGGTTAAGATGTATATCATGTGAATTTTATGAAGCTACTTTTATTTAACCTAAATTGCATGTATTTATCAAAAAGTGTGGTCTGCCTGTAAGAATAAGTGTCATAAAGGTAGTGACAGACTTCATATACAAACACATTTTTATGGTTGTCATATTAAGAGACGGTTGACGAATATCACGAGCAAAGTTATCAATCAAAATTCTAATTTAAATTTGATTTATTTTGCATATATTATTCATATCACAAGTTAATGTTTCTTCCTATTACTCATTTAATCATCACTATTGAATTCAGTAAAGTTCCCGCTAGTTCATCATTCGTAAGCTTTTCTCTATGTTTAAAAATCAACAACAAGCTTCTATTATGCTTATATTCCTAATAGAAGTGGTTTATATACAGACACATTGAACTACACTTCACTACACTACACTATAAAGTGGAAAATAAAAAATTTTACACAAACTAGACAAAGTGGTAGTGAGTAGGGTAGACAGTGAGTAAATATATTGGCAAAAAATTAGGAACAGTAAGTCGTATGATAGTAGTTAATGGGTTAACCGTAAACTTATGATAAAAGGGATACATAGACATAGTAATCCAGTTAATTAATAGTGATACAATAAGAATATATATAATAATAACCTATAAATTAGTTCTCGGAGTTTTCATTCCTTTAATTTTCGATAAGATATAACATCAGATTACGGCTATATCAGTCAACTTCTCCCATTATATTCCAATTGCCTCGTAAACATTTAAACACAGAAAAGTATTTGTGTGAAACATTGAGCCTAAGATGTTCCTGGGTTCGAGTCCAGCGTGCGGAATCATGTATGGGCACTGATGAGGAGTCCTATATTGAACGAAACAACCGTCCAGTGTTTCTAAGTTCTCCATGATGTTCTGGCCTAGATTGACTCATGAATTCAATTATTCAAATTCTGAAATTGTAAAATATATATCAATAGCTTGTAAGTGAAATGAAAGCTTATCATTTAGAACAATATGAAAATATCATAAACTGGAATATTGAATAATCATGACATCATAAAAACAAATAGATGTAATAAGTTATCAAAATAATAATTCGAAATATCCCCCTTTCCTCAAATATCCCCACGAATTTAACAATTTATCGGTACTCTTCAATATTTAACAATATTTAATTATCATTATGATGTATCGAAAAAATGTCTAAAAATTTATAGAAAATTTTGAGAGAATTCCTAACAATATTAATACTACTATTAATATTACTAATACTACTAATACTACCATTAGTAATACTACTACTATTACTACTACTACTACTACTACTACTACTACTACTACTACTACTACTACTAATAATAATAATAATAATAATAATAATAATAATAATAATAATAATGAGCCACAATTTTAAAATTTTACACCTTTAGGCATTTACCAGAAGAAAAGAGGTAATTTGTTCAAATTTAGAATTTCCAATTCAACTGGATAAAAATTCTTTTTTTAAAAAAGCAACAACAGAAAATCAGTTTTTTTTTAAGCAAATGTGGATAGTGGCTAGCAATGGAATTCAGTCCAATGTGCGTTTCGTCTTATTTAAGACTCGTCAGCTGGATGTACCTGCATCCCAGAGTTAATGTTCACTTCGGGACTCGAATCTAATACCGTTCAATTCAAACACTGTCTCCTTATCTACTTAGTTACTGAGAAAAACAGCATCAAGCGAAGAAAATCAGTTTCTTTTTACGTACACGAGTAGTTAACATCATATTTTGATTATGTTGACTTGTTATTTAACAGACTTGTGGTGACTAAAATTTCTTTTTATTAAGAAAACTACAAATATGAACTTGAAATTAAAAAATAGATAATGAACTAAATTCTAAATGAAACGTCCAAGATAAATCCATTTGGCAATGGTGTAAAAAATTAGGTTAAAAACCTTTTGTCTTAGACTAAAAGTGAATTAGTTTACAGAAAACTGGTACTTCGATTTGGTAACTGTGATTTGCACGATGCAAATGAAGGAGACAAAGATTATAGATGAAAATATTTTACAGAACAAAAATCCGACCGATGATTATATCTGAAAATACTGATTTTTACATGATTGATGTTCAGATTTGAATGAATGGAATTGACTGGTACCTGACATTAAGTAGTCGTATCCAGGTAAGAAGAACGAGCAGGGATAGCGTATAAAGAAGGGTAGTAATCAAGAAGTTAATGGATGAAAACAGTTTGAAATATTATAAAATAGACTGCTATAACCAACAAATGGTTCCGATTTATTAAATAATATAATGAAGTCTGTAATTAAGTTACAGACATTAAGGTTCTTTTGTTTATTCTGTTTACTGTTTTCAGCAAGGTTGGTTTCTACGGGGTGGGGTTGCTGACTCCATACCCGACCCTCCTCCTTTACTCGGGATTGGGACCAACAGTAGCCCAAGAAGAGCTACAGGTAGAGCAGACGTTAATAGGATGAATAGCAACTGGAAGGAATTGCCCAGGACAGAGTTCGATAGAGATTGCTGGTGGAAGCCCTATGCTTCTTCACCTGGGGTAAAAGGAGTACTTAAGTAAGTATAAAGTTTGTTTTAGCGTCAAATTTTCGCTAGTGTATGGTATCAGTATAAAACTGTATAAATGTGCCATTATTTATGATATACTGTCCATTACTAGATGACAGTGTTAACTGGGAAATAGGTATCTATTCTACTGATCTATTAGTTATGATGAATTGGAAATACTTCACTTTCTCCAAATCAACCCATACGGATTATTAACAATATAATAATCATTATTATTATATTCTGGACATTATTAAAAGATCCATACCAGTCCAAATGGATTAACAGATTGATACAGAAAGCAATGAGTTGTTTGAAATGAATTGATTCCAATAGAGTTTACCAAACAGATTCATCTTTTGAGTGCATGTAAAAAAAACGACAACAGGCAGAAAATGGATGACTGTTGGCTGAAAACTTTCCAAAGGCCGACTATTTCTTGAAAGTTAACAGCATCGGATATAACTGACAATTTGAAATTGGTTAAGTTATTGTCAACTGATTGAGCCAATCACAAATTTTTATACTATTATCGAATTCAAACAATTCGAATGATAAATAAGTATTTATATCTTGTATAACAAGTGTTCAACATTATTTCAGCTTTATGATCAAACATTAAATCCGATAATGACTTGAGAATTACACCAATTTTACGATGTAAACCGGTTACCAATTGATGATGACTGGGTAGATTTGGTGCGAAATGCTTCAATGGACTACATTTGTGTAATTTCGAACCGTTCACACCGCTGTGTTGTTTATGATGTAACTTCGTCAATCGGAAACAATGTATCCAAGGTATGAACGATATAATCAAGTGAGGAGAACAAATTTATTGTTTAATATAATATTACATAGTGCTTTCATAAAATATGAAAGCCGTACATAAATACATAATTTGCATATCCTTTATGATACTTTCAATTCCGTTGTTATTATGATTACTTCCTGTTTCCACTTCCAATTGTTGTTACATACTGTCAACATGAGTAGCATACACCTCACACACATCACCACTTATCAAAACTTATTTGTCTTGATGTAACGAATAAAGTGAAGACAACACATGAAGGTTTACGATACAATAAAACTATTTAATACCTAGACTTTTTTATAGATTCAACTAAGTAACACGATATTGACTGTTCAATAAATTGGTATACGAAGACAGTGTACAATATCATTAGAACAAACCGTTATGACTGACGAGTATAACTAATTTACTAGATATTATATAATTATTTTTTTTCTAAGAATCATACTGTTCAATCTTGTTTAACATCTGATTGAGTGACATATTTAAAGGAAGAAAGGGATTTAGATAAAAGTAGTATAATGTGTGTACCATCTAGTCATTTACTAGGAGGCCATTTGTTAATGTGGATATTTACATTAAGTTGAAACACTAGTAGTGAAGGTAATGCCCTTTAATTAAGCATATAACGTTTAGAAAATGATACTTTGTTTATAAGTAAACAACTTACTATGTATACATTTTAATTTTATCACTTCGTTTGACAGTTAGCCTAACAAAGATGATTTTTCGGATACTCACACTTCATATAGTAGTGTATTACTGGTAATAATGAATGGTGGCATTATATCATCAACGTAATATTGATCAGCAGAACTCCTCATCGACGAAAATGGAGTGATTTTCAGTGACTAGTGTGTGTTCAAAGTCATAACTTATTGATCCGTTTGTTTTTTTTGTTTTTTTGTTATCACTAATATGTTTTATCTTTGAAAAAACTCAACCACATCTACTCCATGATTGGGCGAATATATATCATACTTGACATGGATTCCATCAAACTCAGTGTTAACTTCTTCACATGTTTTTCTTCCTAAACAAATTGAAGCATTGCAACCAGCTTAGTAATACTAAACACAGTTTTACAAAACATTTCAATATGACAACTAGTTGTGTTTTCAAAAGAATAGATTAAGGTGAATAAATTGAACAGCATTCGATTAAGTGCAAAGTTAATGAACATGTGATCTAAAATACACTGTCTATCGAAATTCCATCTGAATGATATGGATAAGTACTATTTCGTTAATTCGATTATTAAATAAGAAAGATAAGTTCAGCGAAGAGTTCTCTTTTCGGCAAATTCATTTTCAAAGCTGTACAATCGCAAATATATATACTTATTTTTACAGGATGATAATAATACTGATAATAACCTTCTGTTAGACATGTTGACAGTGAGGTTAAATAAACAAAGTTATTAAAGAAATCTTTTTAAAAAAAACAAGGAAAGTTTAATAATCGTTTGGTTGTTAATGGCATAAATATTCATCAAAGGATAGATAGGGAAACTGATAGCTCAGCATGATAAGATAAATGTTGGAATTGAGATTAAATGTAATGAGGATGATCGTGAAAACAAAATGAACCAGTTGGGGGTAGAAAATTTAAGGGGAAGATGGAGGGTGAAGCAGATGGTTGTAAAGGAAGAAGAGTATGAAGAAAGAGAAAAATTAAAAACGAAAATAAAAAAAACTTTAAGACATCAGGACCATGGTAGAAGAAGGGGTTGTACCGGTCGTTTTTGCACACACAATCCTGGTCTTTCCAGATGTATGGCTAATGTCTCAGCAATGTAAAGAAGATGCAGTCTAGTTGTTTTTCGGAGACTTCTGCTTACCTTGTAGATGACTTTGAACGCAGAGTCTGTCTTAATTGAGTAACAAGTGTTCACAAGGTGTTTAATCACTGAGCTTCTTATTGAGCCGCTTCCTCCTCTTTTTAGCCATGCCGGACAATGTTCTTGAATTCTTTTGGATAAAGTATTCTATAAACTTCATAATACAATCAAAACTGTAATTTAAACACAAATCCATATGAATAAAACCACCCATTTTTAGGTTCTGTAAAAGGATATTTAGGTTGAATGTTACAAAATTATTCAGTTCACTTATTTAACATTTCATTTAAGGTGTAGGAACTGCAAACTGTAACTGAAGCTCTTCTAGGGTTACTGACGGTCCCAAGACCGAGTACAAGAGGAGTGTTGGGAATGGTGTCACTAACTACATCCCGTAGAAATCGATGTTACTGCAGAAAAGCTAACCGGAATAAACAACTAAAGCCATTTAATCGCTGTCCTCTGAGTTGAAGGATCTACATTCAGATGAATTATGACGCTTCATGGTGAAAGCCGAGATTCTCTCAAAATCACGAGTCCGATGCCCCTTTTAACAACCACAACAACAATTAATATAGGCACATGGAATGTCCGGATAATGTGAGAGACCGCGAGGACTAGTCAAATAGCGATGGAAATGAGGAAACGTGACTTGACGGTGCCCCGAATCTGTAGAACCCATTCGATAGAAGCTGGACAGAAAAGGATTGAATCGAGAAAGATGCTGTTGTACTCTGGTCACGAACAAGAAAATGCTCCACACACTTAGATATGCTCTGATTCAGTCCAAAAATGCACGAAATGCACTTATAAGATGAAAACCTCATCGATTCAGGATCATCGAAGCATCCTTCAAAACAAAGAAGAAGGGAATCACAATGAATGTTATCCAATGTTATTCACCCACCAACGATAGCAATGCCGACGATAAAGATCAGTTCTACGAGAAGCTGCAAACTATCGTAGCAAACTTATCAGGAAACAACGTGAACATTCTAACGGGAGACCTGAACGCTGAAGTCGGAATGGACAACACTAAGCATGAAGATATCATGAAACGATATGACTGACTGGGAGAATCGGACGGGAATGTTGTGAGATTTGCAAATTTATGTGCATTTAACAAAAAGTGGTTATAGACGGCACAATATTCCCACACAAACGCATACACTAAGAAACATGGA